TAGTTGGCGTATCATCTATTCCGAAGCGCACGAGAGAAGCATGCAAGACAAGCATGCAGAAGACAAACACAGATTGATCGATCTACAAGAAACGTAGGGTCATGATCATGTGTCATGAATGCCAAATTGAAGCGTCGCTAATATTTCATTTGCCTCATGAACGCCGGTCTTTATCAGATGCTGTTGCTGCGGAGATTGGTCGGTTTCAGAAGAAAGGCGAGAGACTGGTGGAGTCGAGTCCTGCGCGTCTACTTCTTAACGCATCCCCACCATGAAATCGCTGCGGTAGTGCGCCTCTATATCTCGAGAACTTTAGGAAGCCACTTGACGGAGCGCTAGTGGTCGTGAATCGTCCTGAGATCGGCGTGTTTCCCACTCGAACAGAAAGAAAGAGGGGAATCAGGTGAGGATGTCTTTAATTCCCATGGTGGGAATTCCTTCCAGGCGTTAGGAAAGAATGAAGCCAAGCTGGCTATCAGTTTTGCCCCAAATTGGGGGAAAGAGAAGAGTTCTCTCTGTACTCGAGGAACGAACCAACCATTCCTCCCTCCACACTTTCAAACCTCAGAAGCACGAAGAGCAAACTCGACATGAATGGTACAACAGGAAGCTTCACGATGGGACTGTCGAAGAATGGAAGCGGACAATCATCTCTCTCGTCCACTGAATTATTCTTTTATGGATCAACATTGATGGGAACTAGATAGAATATTAAACCAAATTTTATGATTTTGAATTAGGAGTCTTAGTTAAGAATTTCTATCATACTTCGAGTCAAAATCTTAAACTTATCATTTATAAGGTAGAGTGAAAAGAAGATAAGAGATTCAAGTTATTATGTTTAATATGAGTTTTTATTTTTATTCTCCTCTATGATTTTTTTGATGTTTTTCGAAAGATTTTCCAACATCTGAAGCATGAAAATGATCTCCTAACCATCACACATGAATATTTTTTGTGGTGTGTGTATTTAGCTGACCATATTTTGACTCCGAGGTGATGTGAAATAAGAATTATTCAAGACAATGATGTTCAACCATGGCTACTTTGATGAGCTCGAGTGAGACAGACGGTTTGGCAGGCATGCAGGTTTCTTCCATGTTGCCAATGACAAGTTGACATACGATCGCCAGGAGATGGGTCAGCATCATATGAAATGAACGTCACCTTTCCCATGCATCGTCATCATCTTAGCCAAACACTAGTAGCAAATAGTGGGAATAATTCGAGAGGAAGCCGAGGAGGTCAAACACCCAACAAATGGTCATTTAGCTCTTGTCCATCTCACCTTTCTCACCAACCCAGTCGTGCTGACTTCCGACCACATGCACCTCAGATGCACTCCTCCATTGCTTTCATGAACCTTCTGCCATAAAAAGTAAGTCTGTGTATGTACTCAGAAAGAAGCGATAAGGAACACAGAATCGGCAACGGTAGATCTTCTTAATGAAGAGTTCTCTCTCTAATTCGCCAGGAAAAGCTGCATCCACTCTCAGATCGATCTTCGCTAAATTATAGCAGAGCAAGCGATAGATCGCACCATCGTAGCTATCGCGCTCGAAGATAATGTAATCAAATAGGCAAAATGAGCCACATAACACATTTCTATACGTGTGACAAAAAAAGAAGCTTTATATTTGGTTAGTCGATTTAGATAATGGGAGTCTCGTCGATGTGCATAAACTAGTTTGGCTTTTACCTGATGATTCGTTTCATGATCCATTGTTTGCGACCGCTTGGGCGTGCGAACAACACCAATCACTGAAAGCATTTCAGTCATTTGGACTTACACCAGAGGAGGATGATGAGGTCAGAAACCACAGCCACATTGGATTTGCCTGCTCAGGAAAGAAACGTAAAGAAGTTGAATAGGGAGTTGGTTTAATTCATCTTTTATTTAAATATTGTCACATGATAATATCTATCCGAGGATGAGGAAAAAAGAAAGGTTTAATCATAAAGAAGGATTTAAAAGATATTATGTTCGAATCAATTCAAGAATATTGAGATCATACATTTGATTTATACCATTATAAATTTACATATTTATATATATTTTTTTTGTTCTTCTACTTGAGCATATAAATAGGAATAAGAATCGATGAATTCAGTTCTTTCTGAGCTTGTGTGTGAGTGAGTATACTACGCAACAATTATTTTTCTGGTAGAATGAGTGGAGTTCATTATTGGGCATAGAACGAATCTGATATTTATCCTATTCTTTTTACTATTATCCTTCTTTAATCTCTTTCCATTCTTCTATTTCTGAAAAATTCTCGTGCTACATTTATCTCCTCACATGAAATCATCAACATAATGCTGCATCATTAAGCAATCGGCATCCTGTGGACGACCATCCACTAGTCTGTATTATAATGGCCTCAAAGGAAAAAGAATATGAGGATTCTGTAGTGGAACAATTCATTGACCCATTTGCGAAAAGTAGAGAAATGATGAAGCATTATCAAAAATGCTAAAACCCTACTGTTCTTTAAAGTGGACAGTCATGGGGGGAGCAATATGGGAATTATGGTTGGCGTCACCCGAGATTCAAGAGGAATCGTTGCCCAATGGCTTGCATCTTTGGTGGAATGATCGAAGCAAGCATGATGGACCCGCTACTGCTGTTCTTACTTTGTGTGCGCCCTATGCATATCCTCTAGAAGAAGGTCCCCGGAGCTATCATAGCCAACCGTCAGTAGTTATAAGCTCGCAGATGTCCCCAGCAATCACCACGCCATGGATTCTTTTAAGGAAGGCCCTGTGTAATGGGAGGAGTACAGGACAGCCTGGGAGTGGTGATAGTGGTGGTGCCAAAGCCTTGTTGGCTCCAGCAAAAATACAAACAAAGAAAAGAGAAAACATCAGCAGCAGCAGCTCGATCCCACTAACCCCATTGGTTGTATCGTTGTTATTGCTATCTTTTCTTCTTCTTCTTCCTGTGTGTGCGTATTTTGGTGCCTCATGCTGTGTGTAAATACTGAGGAACAGTGAAGACCGCACTATCTATCTGATGCGGCACAAGAACGAACACGTGAGCAGCCCTATGCATCAACAGGCCCTTTCGGCGTCTCGGGATCCAACCTCTGATGGCAGGGTGGAAAGCTGCGTTTGACAGGAATTAAGAAGTAAGCAGGTGATTAATCCGTGCCGTGCTAAAGTTGTTCGTCGACATGCTTCTGACGAGGCGAGCTAATGCATATCACATATCGGAACGTGCTCGGCTGACTCACAACTCTTATTGTTAGCCATGGAAGCGAGAGAGCAAGACGATACGTTAAGCAATCCGAACTCCAAACCTGTTTGGCCATTAGCAGAAGAGTAATTCGAAGGATGCCTTCCCCCCCACTCATATCCAGGTTTGGGTCAAAAGGAGGTGGTAGAAATGACACTGTTTGGGTCACGAAAAGTAGCTGGCTGCTCCAAAAAGAATTCCACAGTCGATGCATATGCCTCGATGATATGGGGAAAGAGCAGAGTCGAAGAGCATATGCGAGACTTAAGAACGGTCACCACTGATTTAGTTGCCAAGAGATGCCTGATGCTTCCTTTGAGAGGAGAGAGAGAGAGAGAGAGAAGGATAATATTTTTATCTGTTGTGCCCATAATGTAGATTTAATTTGATGCAAAAGAGAAAAGTAGATTGAGTTGCGGCATCTATTTCTACAAGCCAATTCAGACGATCATGGGGGGGCTACAAGTAATGGTGGCCATCGAAAGCACGAAGAAGCTAATAAAGCTTCTACTTTGGGGTTACAAACACATTGCTTATTGTCAAACTTAAGAACACAGGAATATGTCCGTCTTCCATATTCCCAAAGATGAAGACTACTGTTATCCACCGGTGAAGGAATTGGTGAGAGATTTGTTCCTCCTGCAGCACCAGAAAGACGAGCTTTCCATTACCGTTGCGGGGCCAGATGTGCGGCATTGGAGGGTGAATGCATCAACCATGATGGGAGGAAGGGAGGGAGGGGCATATATTCCCTTTACCTTTTGCATAAGCCTTACCTCACTTGCCAGACAATAGCCTCCATTATCAGTTCTCCAAATAAATTGTATGACAATCCAAATAATATATATATATATATATATATATATATATATATATATATATATTCAAAATTTTAAATTTAAGCATGATAATCGAAGGGAATTTTATTAATTGTGACAGTCATAATTTTTTTTTTCATTTAACTGTTATTAAAATTTATTGAAAGTAGAAGATTTATATGATTTTCTTCTTAAATAATATAAAATTTTGATAAAATATAATATTTTAGTACTAAAAAAGTCATATGGATTTTCCTCTTATAGTTTCAAAAATATAATATTTCTGTTTGGCATAATATTTTAGGACCAGGAAAAACCATATGAATGTTGTTTTGTGAAAAAAATATAATGATAATAAAATTTATTGGAAGTGGAAGAATTCTCATCAAGAACATCCTCATACTGGGCATCTTTCTGGATGTTCATAGGTGAGGAACGTCATCATCCAGTATGATTCTTAAGTTGGGACAAATATTTCTCTGCTGCAATCATATCGTGGTATACTGAAAACCAAATCAATGCAATGCCAACTTTTGAGACAGCCAATCTGGTCAATGGGAATTAAATCTAATTGAATATATGGATGCGATTCAGATTGGATAGTGGCTCACACTGTTCTTCACGCAAATCTATCCTCTACCATTTACATAATCCATCAAATTATCTCTCTCTCTCTCTCTCTCTTTCTTTTGATTACTTTTAAGAGCTCCTATTGCCAAAAGAATGAATTAAGGGGATGCAATTCGATAGTTGGCGAGGAATAGTTTGCTGCTTAAGACTTTTCTCTTTGCTCCACTAAGTGTGAGTGGAAAAGAATGGCATTTCTGCTTCCTTTTTTTGGTAGGGATAAGAATAAATAAAATTGATGATGAAGAAGGTTTGCCTTATTATTACTTTCCCTGTCCGTATCTGTCTATATAATCTCTTCCACTCCTTGCCTCTATTTATACTCCCTCCGTCTCTGGTTATTCCGCGGAGAAGTTGCAGAGGAGAAGGGGGGGAGGCGGAAATGGTGAAGTTTTCACGGGAGTTGCAAGCGCAGCTGATCCCCGAATGGAAGGACGCCTTCGTCGACTACCGCCAGCTCAAGAAGCATGTCAAGAAGATCAAGCTCTCCCTCCTCCGTTCTTCCTTCCCTTCTTCTTCCTCCTCAGTTGACCACCACAACGGAGGTGGTGGTTTCTCTCTCTTCGACCCGGTTCGCGCATTCGCCGCCCGTTTCTCCGCCCCCCGCAGTGACCTTCCTCCGGTAAAGTCTCAAAATCGATCGACACAAGAATTTTGCTGTAGAAGTCGAAATTCTTTACTCTCTTCTCCACTGTCTTTCCCTCGTTTCTTGGTTCCGTTTGCTTTTAAACGAAGGCACGGATGACAGAAAGGAGGGAGAGAATAGCAAAATTTGGCGCTTTTTTTGCGGTTAAAAGGCGGCAGTCCGTCTGGTCGTCACGCCATCGATCGTTGTGTTCATTTGATGTGTACACTGCAACTTTTCCGAGCCCAAATCTCCCCCTCTGTTCCTCGTGTCGCCTGTAGTGATTTGATCACGGAATCGAATAGATTCATTTTCCTGACGAATGCTCTGCTTCTTTGTTTGTTTGTTCTTAGATTGATGAGGAGAATCTCTTCGAAATGGTTCCCGTCCAATCTAGAGAAGACGAGGTAATTTACTTGTCGCTTTTACGTGTGTGTATATATGCATGCATATTCTGGTTTGATTCTTCTGGGTGAGTAACAAAGGGATGGGTGACACTTAAGGTGAAGGAGTTCTTGGAGAAGTTGGAGCAGGAGTTGGAGAAGGTGAATGGTTTCTACACCAACAAAGAGAACGAGTTCTGCGACCGCGGCGAGATCCTCAGCAAGCAGCTCCAGATCCTCGTGGATCTGAAACAGCTCCTCCACGAACACCGCCGCCGCCGCCACCAGCGGAATGCCCCTCCATCCCCTGCTGGCGGCAGCGTGACCTCCCTCCTCAGCAGCGCCTCCTCCTTCTCCGGTGCGTAGGCTCCTGAACCCATCAACCCATCGCTGTAACACGCATAATAACAATGGTGGTGACAGTGGAAGGAGAGCCAGAGAGCCCAGCAGCGGGAACAGAGGAGCGGGACAGCCTTAGTGACGAGGTGATAGCGACGCTGGAGAGGAACGGCGTGAGCTTCCTAGGGCTAGGGAAGGCGAAGGCGAAGAAGGCCGGGAAGCTGAGGACGGCCACGTCGCTTAGGATCGACATCCCACCGACGACGCCAGCCCGAGCCATCTCGATGGTCTGGGAGGACCTCGTCAACAGCTCCCGGAAGGAGGGCTCAGTCGGCGGCGATCATGTCAATAGGAAGAAGCTCCTGCGCGCCGAGAAGATGATCAGGGAGGCGTACGTCCAGCTCTACCGAGGGCATGACCTGCTCACAACCTACAGGTGCGTTGGTTTCTGTCCTCCTATGCGCCCATAGCTTAAAGACACCATTCCATGTAGTGAGACGGGCGAGTCTACCTACGTGGGAGGTGGGTGCAATCGCCCATGTACTAACCTGCATGCAAGAGTTGGACGTGGAGACTACTACTATCCTTTTTGGCTATATCAAATGAACTGATGACTAATTTACTTACGTAAGATTCTTCACTTGTGGCAGCTCCTTAAACATGGAAGCCTTCAGGAAAATCCTCAAGAAGTTCCAGAAGGTATTGCACGAATCGATCTGTTCTGTAGATTTCGAACTGAACTGAGATGAGTCGTGCTCCGTTTCTGAAGGTATCGAACCAACGACGAGAATCGGCCACCTTCTTGAAGAAGGTTAAGAGGTCGCACTTTGTCAGCTCGGACAAGGTATTTATTGCATGGGTTGACTTATTATTATTTCCCTTTTCTTGCCATTTTTTTTGGGGTACCTATGGGACGTAATCACATCGATCGTGTCTCTCTACAAGGCTTTATTCGTTTCATCTACTTGGCCACATTACATTATATTGTTTATTCCACAAATATACCCAATACGGATTTAGCCTCGCAATGAGGAGAGTTTGGCCATCAGTGGACTCCTGCCTCATCGAAGGAGTGATTGCACCACCTCATCTCGTCACTGTTGAACTAAGATATAGATACCATGATATATCTCTAGAGGGGATTGGTGGACATGTTGTAGTGGCCGGGTGGAGGAACAGCAGTTGGTCTCTTGATCGATTTGATTATGGCAAGTGGATAATAGTAGTAGTATTATTATTATCGCCACTGCCGCAGTCGTCAGTGTTTTCATAGTTTGTTTTGTGTCAAGACCCCTTTCTTCGTCTGCATATATGTGTAGCTAAGCAACACGAGAAGAGAGGAATTTTATTTGGGGTGGGTGGGATATATGCAGGTGATAAAGCTGGCGGACGAAGTGGAATCCATATTCACAAAGCACTTTGCCGGCAGCGACAGGAAAAAAGCCATGAAGTTCCTGAGACCTCAGAAGCCCCGGGAATCCCACACCATCACCTTCTTCGTCGGTACGTATCCACCTTCCCTCTCACGCTCTCTCCTCCTGTGGACCAAAGATTAGCATAGAAGTGAGTGTGCATCGAGTCCCGATGCCCACACCTATGGAGCATTTAATGCACTCAGTGTTTGTCATATTGCCATGGCCACGGTAAAGATTTGCACACACGACATCCGTGTACGGTGAAGCTGTAGTCCGACTAAGCTAGCATCTATCGGTGGGGAGAGGATTGTGATAGAGAAGGAAAAAGATGGATAGCTCTGCTGCCATGCGGAGTATCGAAACTAAAAGCTTCCGTTTCGGTCCTCTTAATGCCTCGGTTGTCTTCTTCTTTGTTTGTGTTGCGTGCAGGTCTGTTCACGGGCAGCTTTGTGACTTTGTTCGTTGTGTACGCAATCTTGGCTCATTTGTGTGGCATCTTTTCTTCCTCAAGTAGTGATGAAGCCGGTTATATGGAAACCGTTTACCCCATCTTCAGGTGCTCCTTTCTTTTGCGCCCATCAAACTTTCCACATGACTTCATTCATACACCTCTGTTTCCCACATTCTATATGAAAAGCTTAATTGACATGCATATTTACTTACGAATGGCGAATGCTATAAATTTGCAGAGTGCTTTAGACAGCTACGTGGTCTTTACTATTATTATTATTAATGATTGTGATTCTTCCACTATCATAGATGGCATCATTCATACAGCCACTAGCTGGAAATTTTGCAGAATTTAGCTCCACTTTCCTCGGTGCCCCATCCTCCACTAACCTCATGCACTTCCATTCTATGTCATTTTTCGTACAGTGTCTTCCATTTCCTCCACTTGATCTCTCGTATAGGGAATCAGATCCTTTCTCGAGAGTATTACTGCTTTCTACGAGTAAAAAGATTGTATGTTTTGTGCAAGAATGATTAGGCTACACTTGCTAGTGAACAGCAGTCAATCTACAATATGTGTGCATGCATGTTTTCTGCAGCATGTTTGCGCTCCTTAGCCTGCACATATTCTTGTACGGCTGCAACATATTCGCGTGGAGAGGCACCAGAATAAACCACAACTTCATATTCGAGTTCTCGCCAAACACAGTTCTCAAGCACAGGGATGCCTTCCTCATCAGTGCATCCTTGATGACTGCGGTCGTCAGTGCGCTGGTCGTCCACCTCCTGCTTCGATCTGCCGGTGTCTCCCAGCGGCACGTCGATGCCATACCCGGAGCTCTCTTGCTGGTAATTAATCGATTCACTAGCGAGTGCCATGTTCCTCATGGGACAGTTCTATACCATAAAGATATCCCAGCAAATTAAAGCAATTTTCTTGCAGGTATTCACGGCACTACTCCTCTGTCCATTTAACATCTTCTACCGCTCGACACGCTATTGCTTTCTCCGAGTGATGCGCAACATTGCGTTTTCGCCACTGTACAAAGTAAATTAGCACATCGTTTTGTATGTTCTTTCCCTTCTTTTGTATACCGTCCAAGAAAACTACATGGTTGCACGATGCATTGCAGGTGCTGATGGTGGACTTCTTCATGGCTGACCAGCTAACCAGCCAGGTGAGCACACAAATAGTCTACAGAATCTGCATGCAGGATAAGCACATGAGTAATGTCTGATTCATTCTGTACTTTGTCGGCAGATTCCACTGCTAAGGCACATGGAACTCACAACATGTTACTTCATGGCGGCTGGATTCAAAGTGCATCCTTATGAGACATGTACTCGCAGCCACCAGTACAAGATTTTGGCCTACATTATCTCATTTCTTCCCTATTACTGGCGTGCCATGCAGGTAGGATTAACATGTGGTCATATATATGTATGTATGCGAAAAGAATGTCGCTAACATCTGCACCTGCACAATGTATCCAAGTGTGTCAGGCGGTACATCGAGGAGGGGTACGACGTCAACCACCTGGCCAACGCCGGAAAGTATGTATCGGCCATGGTGGCAGCTGCCGCCAAGTTGAAGTACGCGGTGGAACCTACGCCCCTGTGGATGGTCATTGTTGTCATCACATCCACAGGAGCTACCATCTATCAGCTCTTCTGGGACTTCGTCAAGGACTGGGGGCTATTGGACCTCAGCTCGAAGAACCTATTTCTGAGAGATGATCTCATTCTGAAGAACAAATGCGTCTACTATGTCTCCATTGTGGGTGTAGCTTCTGTGTTTCTCTTCTTGTGCAACCATGTCCTAAATGTTCAACACTAACAAGATTGAGGTGCGTGCAGGTTTTGAACTTTGTGCTTAGACTGGCATGGATTCAGAGCGTGATGCGGCTTACGATGGGGCAGGCTGAGCACCGGTTGATGGATTTCCTGCTAGCTTCGCTGGAGATTATTCGACGCGGGCATTGGAACTTCTACAGGTCAGTCGTCACTCTCGCAACATGCACCTGCATGCATGCATTGTTAGAATAGCCATCAAGAAGGCTGATGCTGTGACATGGTGCATGTAAAGGTTGGAGAATGAGCACCTGAACAATGTGGGCAAGTTCAGGGCTGTGAAGACGGTGCCGCTACCCTTCTGTGAGTTGGCTTCCGATGATTGAGGAACTGCATGCCTAACAGTTGTACATAGACGGACGAAGCTGGGGGCTCTTTTGGGAGGATGCTGCAGAGCACATCAGGAGATGGCCTGTGGCGTCAAGCTTGGGACATATATATATATATATATATATATATATATATATATATATATATATATATATATATATATATATATATAAAACTAACGTGATACTGATTGTTCACGAGGGGAATTCGAGGTTGTCCATTAATAAATCCAAGAGCAGAGGATTGACTTCTCGTCTAAAGCAGTGAGCAGCAGCTCCTCCCATGGAACAAAGCATGATGTACTTGGCGTTCCACAGCTACTACGTAGCTGTGGTGTGAGAAGAATGTCGAACACGCTGACCAATTAAAAGACCAGCTTGGTCTCTAGTACGATGGTGTTAGGTAGAAGAGATAAGGGGGGTACATAAAACTGTCGGCATTTGTTGAGTGCCATGAGAAACTGAACCAGCATAGAAGTATGAATCCATTTGAATGCGATATATCTGCATTACATTTTCCACAATTCAATACAAACTCTTATAAGTTAATTTAAATATTTTATTATAGCATTAAACCTATTAGAAAGAGTAAAAAGAACTTCAAAAAAAAAAATCAAACTATACCAAAAAAATCGATTCAAAATTAACATGAATCACCACTTTCTACTAATCAGATAACACTAAACTATTTAGATCAATTACAAGATCTTTGAGTTATTCTTACTCAAATACAAATCTATTTATAAACCTCTCACAGAAACCCAAGTATCCAAATTATTACTCTCATCTTGATCTCCTTTGTCAAAACCTAGAGTTAATATTTATAAAATAACTAAACTCTAATTAAAAGGATTTCTTCTTTCACTAAAATTATTTTTCATACCAAGATTTCTTGTTTTCCTACCATACCAATTATAAAATTCTTATCAGTACCAACAAAACTACAAACAACATTTTAATAAATGCCTATGCATTATCATTATAGAAATATCTTTCTATCAACTGGTTTTTACTGGATATGATCATATCTAGCTAGATATGATTTTTTTTATATTCTTTTATGGCTTAACAATCTTTTTCTAATGTCGATAACCATAGGCCTACTTGAATATTGTCTCACACTGCTATACTGAATCATTAGAAACAAATTTGGATGATTGCATTTGAGAAGCAGTTGATTGCAAGCTTATAAGGACATGTTGGGATTTGGGATTAGTATCAGATGTGGTCATTCGAGTTTAGCCGACTTGGTGCACTTATTGACATCATCATTAGAGCTAGCCCCAGGATATTTACCAAAGGATAATTTTGGCAACACAACAAAGATAATAAAGCGGAAAGAATAAAGCGACAAGAACAACAGAACACCAGAACACCAGATATACGTGGTTCGGTCAATTGACTTTGACCTACATCCACGGAAGAAAGAGGAGCAAATTACTACTATAAAAGAGGGACACTTACAAATGCCTTAGGAAATGTTCCTAGGCCATAAAACACCTTCAGCTTCCTAAACAAGAAGACTTCAAACTATAAGCAGGTTTTCTTGTGGTGTGTCTAACATCAAAGCTCAGGCCCTTATTTATAG